CAAAGCACGTTTGTTGGAAGATAGCCTCACATGTTAGTCGGTGCTTTAACTTACCAAGAATATTGGCACCAATGCCTTGTTTGCATGGCAAAGTAAGAGAAACATCGAATAGGCCATCATATTAAATATTGAGCAAGTTACCTAATTTCAAAAATAGATGTTAGTATTCCAAACTACTATAGACATTTTGAACTGTTTTTCATATTCCAAACTATTCTTCGCATTCTGAAATATGACAATTCATTTCATAGAAGTGAAAAGCAAGGATAAATGCAAGGAAAAACACCTAATACTACTTTTCTAAATTACCATAGGGTCAATAATGACTAGTACGTAGCTTTTTAAGGATTTAGGAATGGGAGTTTTGTTACATTAATGGTCATTGAGATTTGAAAATTTTGCAAGTAAGAGCACTTCCAACTACATTTTATTTTTTCACTTTTTTTAGAGTGTAAAATAGAGTTAAGAATGGTTTATCTCCAACTTCAATCTAAATTCTATTCTACACTATACAAATAGAGTGTGCAAGAAACTTTATAATTTATTCTTCAAATTTAAAGTGTTAATATTCATTTCTTTAGTTATAGAGTGTAAAATAAAGTTGGATCGAAACATTTACTCTATTTTACACTATATAAATAGAGTGTAATGACAAAAATAGAGTGCAGCTAGAGATGATCCGAATCTTATGGCTAAATGTGTTTAAAAAGTATTAAGTCTATGTAAAATTACCAATATACTTTATCTTAGAGTAAATTACACAAATGGTCCCTATGGTTTGGGGTAATTTGCACGCTTGGTCCCTAACTTATTTTTTTAACTCGGAAGGTCCATGTTGTTTGTTATTGTTACACGCTTGGTCCCTATTGTTTGTTTTTGTTACGCGTTTGGTTTCTATCTTACGTAAAAAGATAATTATTTAAATAGGGAAAAAAGGTAGGGTAGGTAAGGTAAGGTGAAGGGTGGGGTTGAGGGTGTGTTTATTTAAATAAATTAATAAATCAAGGGAAAAATATATTTTTTTATGTAAGACAGGGACCAAACGTGTAACAAAAACAAATATTAGGGACCTTCTGAGTTAAAAAAATATGTTAGGGACCAAGTGTGAAAATTACCCCAAACCATAGGGACCATTCGTGTAATTTACTCTTTATCTTAACTATTTTTGATGATATATAATTTTTTTAAAAAAAATGTCCCTATATCTATCTATCACACAAATACACACACTTACTTTTTCTTAACTTTTTCAGATGATATATAATATAAAATGTCCCACATCTATATATATATATATATATATATATATATATATATATATATATATATATATATATATATATCTCACATACACACATGTGTGTATGCCTCTTATTAGCCTTATGAACATCGTCTTCTACACCACTAGGTACCCTAGTCTGTCTAAAGCTTTCATCGGACCATTTCACTACTTTGTCGTCGATCTCTGACTTTCATTACCCCATCTCTTCCATTGCAATCACCAAAATATTATCTTCAACTATTAGACCATTGATTACTTGTAATACCTAAAACAATAAATTGTTACTAAAAACAAAACAAAAATACATCTTCCACTCCATAGTTTTGAGTTAGAGAGAACCACGATCATGAAATGGATTCAAATATAACATTGCACTACCACTGAGCAATGTCGATTTGAAAGTTTGTTTTATATACATACAAGACAAAACTAAATCCGCATAACAAACCACTTAGAAGCAATCAAACCTACTAAAAATGATAAAGATACCACATAATGCAACATACTAAGGTTCTTAAGTATATGCAAATGAGTTATTAATAAAGTTCCTAAATTTAAAGAAAACCATTATATTAATCTTAGAAAATAGAACAATATTCAAATGGTGTTCTTAAACAAAACTCTATCAAAATTATCCTAAAATGAAAATAGGAATGGGGTTCTTAGATTAAACAAGGCCCATCTCAATGGAAATCGAGACACGTTTAAGCACATTGTAAACGAAAGGCTTATTAAACATAGGGATGACAAAGAAACCGAACCCGATAGTAAAAACCGAAAACCGACATATTAGGTTCGGGTTTGGGGTCGGTTAATCGGGACCGGGATCGGGTTTGGTATACTTTTAGAAAATTTACGCGGGTTTGGTTACGAGAATGGTAAACAAAATACCCGTCCCGATTATCCGTAACCAAAACCGAAACCGAAACCTGTTACCTGAAACTGTTCACATGATTATATATATATATATATATCCTTAAGTTATCTTATTTGTTGTGAACGATTTAAAGATAATTTCTTGAGATAACTTCCTGTTTATTTGTAGTGCTATTGTTTTACCATTTTTTATTCATAGTAGTTAGGATAATAGTGATATTATGGTTTATGAATGCTAGTGTCTTTACTTTTTTTTTTTTTTTTTTGCCACTAGTAACCACTTACGTATCAGAACAAATATGTCTGTTCTGAATGGTTTTGTAAATTATCAAAATTATTTTGGATATGAATTTATGTTTGCATCACTAAGTCTAATGGTTTTGTATTCTCATTGAATCAAAATTATTCTTAATTTGAATGTTAAACGGGGATCCCCGTTACCCCGTTGGGATATCCGCAAACCCGATAGTGTTTAGTAAACGGGTACCCGTTGGTAATCGGGTCGGTGATGGGATCGATTTTCATATACGGGGACAAAGACGGAATTTCCAAAACTTGTCACAAACCCGTCCCGTTGCCATCCCTATTTAAACATGTCATTGTCAAAAGACATTGATAGATCATTCAAAACTATTTGTTGATCATCCATTAACAAACAACGCAATCCAAACACCAAGAGCCCAAGAACAAAGACAATAACAACATGGCACCATAAGAAATCCCTCTAAGTCATGCACTCTTCTATTCCTCCTGGCTTCATCTAAAAGGCCTATGATATCCCTTTTCCCTCTTTTCATGAGAGACAAGGTGGGGGTATTTTTGTTTTGTTTTTATATAATAGATATTTAAAATAGACAAAAAGTTAAGAAATTGTATATTGGCAATCTCACATGTATTTGACCCTTACTACTTTTAACAGTGACTCAGAGCCATAAGGACTTAAGGTGCAACCGTGGAAGAATTTCAAATATCAGTACCACCGGTATAACATAACTTCTATACTGATCTTTTTTGGTCTATTTTGTAAATTACAAGGACCATTTGTGTAATTTTGTCTTCTAACCCTTATCGGGGCCAAATTGCATTTGAAAGTAAATGTGTGTTAGTGTGTACCATAGTGGAAACCCCAGTTGACCAAGTATAAAAACGGTAATAGATATACAATCGATTATTTGTAAATAATACTTTTGATTAAGTTTTATCTTTAACAAACCAAAATAATCAAATAATATAACATAAAAGGACCAAATTAGTCACACGAGTGAAAATCGTCAAAGGCATTATTTTGTTAATGTATACAAGTATATATACGCTGTTATAGATTATTATTATGAACGGAGTTTTATGTTCATATTTATATAACACACACACACAAATATATATATATATATATATATATATATATATATATATATATATATATATATATATATATATTACAGATCAACTTATTTGGAACCTATCAATAAAAAAGGACAGGTCATATAATAACAATGTATTTCACCTTTACTACTTGGTTAATCCATAATCCATTTAATTTGTTACTTATAACATTAATATATTATATATATATATATATATATATATATATATATATATATATATATATATATATATATTTTACACTTATTAACAACAAAGCATATTTTTGAAAACAACATATGTAATATTAGATAGATAATTACAATATATTTGTAACCATTTAGCAATGCAAAAATTTTTGGTACCCAATATGAATAATTGAGCTTATTCATATTTAATTTCATATATATTCGCAACAAGACTTGAACTTTCAACTCTGAAAACAACACTTGATACCCAATATGAATAACTGAGCTTATTCATTACTTATTATTGTTATAAGTAAAATGACTTGTGTATTTTTATCATTTGAAAATAAAAATATATTTATTATAAAGAAAAATATAATTATTATAAATAAATAAAAATAAAAATACATTGTTTATAAAGTTGATATATTTTGTACTTTGAAATCTTCTAGAGAATGTAAAATCAAGAGTCAAAAAGTAATGGCAATATGGACTTGACCCCAACCACCACGGCACACCGCATATGACCAGTTCCCACGTGCTGTTGACCTTTCAAATAACTGCCTTCCTTTTTATACCAATTTCATTTTAGCCCTTTATGTTTGCACATTTTCTATATGGAACTTAATATGGCTAGTTTTCTTTCGGTTTGTTAAGGGTTAATAGCGTATATAAAAGATCTTATATTTTTGGATTTTTTTCTATTTATTTTTTTTTACTTTTATTTTTTTATATTTTTAATTTAGCTTTTAGAAAGTTTACCGGTAATCTTTCAGTTTTACATAATTTTTTTCCAAAAAAGAACTCAATTTCTTTTCCAAAGAAATGAAACCCATCGCATTTAGCAAATCTTTTCGTTTTGACCGATTTTTTCATTTTGACTCATAATTCCTTGTTGTTTTCTGATCATTTTAACATTTAATATCCGAACAAAATATTTTGAAATACTTTGAGGTGTGTTGTAGTGTTGGGTAGATTTGTGAACAGTTTATGGTAATGGTATTGGATAAGTCATTCCTTAGAAATATGTTTTTGGTTTATCATCATCAGATTAATAAAATTCGTAATTATCATTAATAGAATAACTATGATTAGAATGATCCTTACAGGGGTAAGCTATACCTTCATAATTTTCCAACGACTCCTCCATGTGGACATAGGTTTGAATCATCAATCAACACCAACAAAATTTGATAACTATTTGTTGATTCATCACCCTCATACATATGCTTTGTTTTAAACAACATGCTTACCTTTCATATTTGTAATCATTATAACAAAAAAAAAATTGCATGCTTGATTACTTCCAGCATCAGACAAATTTCTGCGACATTGGTTTTCCAAATCAATGGATTTCTAAGTTTAGTAGGAGATTGATATGTAACTGTTTGTTTACTCCCACATTAAACAACAATATCGACAACAAACAACATCCTCGTATTTACAAGCAAACTAGTAATAAACTTACAAAATATTTGATGTCACTGTCATCCGTTATCTGCATAATAGTGTTTTTTATAAGATATTAAAAAGATAAAGTGATCTAGTTTAGTGTTAAGCTTAAATTGGAAGCCACTAAGTTAACTAACCGTAAAAGTTAATATTATAAATCAAATTTATGTATATTATATAATTGTCATTGATTCGCTTCCTTGCCCTCTAATACAAAAAGAGACTCAAAAAAGTGATTAGCTGAACTCATTTTAAAGAAGAAAAAAATATATGTTTATTAGATGCTTGATAATAAAACCCCCAACAATTGCCAAATGTACTCCATCCATATGGTATATTCCGAAATGTGAAGTACAAAATTTTGGAGGACAAAATTGCAAAAATGGTACCTGTGCTTGTCAAAATTGTGTGGTTTTGATCCAAAAAAGTTTGGTGGTTCATCGGTGGTCCAATTTCGGATATTTTGTGTGATTTTGGTCCTTATGGTTAGCATTTTTGTGTGGTTTTGGTCTATACTCCACCTAAAATTACTAATATGTCTTTAAAATTGTTTTTTTTTTCTATTTCTTTTAATTGAGTTTTAATTCCATTAATTAAAAAACCAAAAAATATATATCACCCTACTTATCCCTTTCTCTCTCTCTCTCTCTCTCACATATACACACACAGAGAAAGAACCCAACTTTTCAGATCAAACAGTCACCCAAAAAATCATTGATGTTCTCCAGTGTTCATCAACAAGCTTTTCAGATCACACGTAGCTCAAATCTGAAATCGATGCACCTTCTCATTCTCTGATAATCGCAGGTATTCTCCTTCTTGTTCTAACTTCAATCGACAACAACCACGACCCTCCCTTCCTTCTTTTATGTTCTGATTCGATTCTCACCACACCTTCTTCGATTCAGATAGTAGGAGCTTGGGATGGTGAGTATGGTGGTGCTGATCGGATTTCTGTGGAAAATCAAGAAGAGGTTAAGGCATGTATTTCATTTTTTCTTTTTTATTAAATTCGATCACAACCCCTCCTTTCTCTCTTCTGAATCAATCTCGTTTTTTTTTTTTAATTATCCTTTTGATGGTAGATGTGTGTTGGCTTGTGGGTATGGTGGATTATGGTGGTCTGGTGATGTGTGATGTGGGTGGTGTTAGAGGTGATGTTCACACTGATGAATAAGGGAGAAGAAGGTGAGGAGGGTTGATTAGAAGGGGGGGATGACGGGATGGCTGTAATGGAGTTCAAGGTTAGTGGTGTATGGTGGTGATTGTACAGATTAAGATCCAAAAGGACATCACACCAAATATGGAACTTGAATGATTAATCGTTAATCAAGAATGAGACATACAAACAGGATAGAAAAAAAGGGAAAATTGCGTAATTTGAACCTTGACTTCTAGTGTTCTTCAAAGATGGATAACAACTTTGACCTCAACTTCATGGGCTTCAACCTTGATTTTTGATTTGCAGTTAAAAGGGGATGGCGATGGTAGTAACCATCAAGGAAGTGAGGAAGATAGCTTTGGGTGGATAAGGAAGTCGACCCTTTTTTTCTGTGGGTTACACATGTGGAGAGAGAGAGAGAGAGAGAGAGCATTTTTTTTCAATTTTAATTAATGAAAAACATTTGAATAAATATAAAAAAAATTAAAAAAAAAAACAAATATAAGGGTATAATAATCTTTTTATGTTGATAGGGACCAAAAACAATAGAAAGATTCAATTTTAAACCAGTGACTAACATTTTGTTTTGGACCAAAATCACATAAATTTACCAACAAAAAGGACCATTTTTGCTATTTTGTCATTTTAAAGTGAAGAGTATGAAGCATTACACTTAGTAATATGCCAGATAAATAACATCTACATCTGTTCATACTAGGGGTGTGCGCGGTGCGGTTTGGTGCGGTTTCGAGTCAAAACCGCAAACCGCACCACATATGCGGTTTGAATATTTTAGAAACCACAAACCGCACCATAGATGTTCAAAACCGCATGATGCGGTGCGGTTTGATGCGGTCGGTTTATGCGGTTTAGTTGCGGTTTGTACGGTTTGATGAGTTGTTTAACATTAAATCTATCAAAAAACCAAAAACCTGACCGGGTTAAAAAAATGATTGATTTCATTTTATAAAAACAAATACAATTTTCGAGTTAAATCGTTTTTAATAAATTGTGATTCATGTTACTATAGTTTTGTAAGTATCATTGTTATTGTTTTATATTGCCTTTATAATTGATATATTCTTGTAAACCATGAGATCTTGATCTAATAGTGATTTAATATTACGTTATAGATATTTGGTTATTATAAGAAATATATTTATATACATCATTTCTAAATCGTGATTTGAAGTTATAACAAAATAAAGAAAAAAAAAGTATATATATATATATATATATATATATATATATATATATATATATATATATATATATATATATATATATATATAACATGCGGTGCGGTACGGTTTGAACCGCAGTTTTATAAATACAAACCACAAACCACACCGCATGGTGCGGTTTGATAAAATGATGAACTGCAAACCGCACCGCAAAATTCTAAACCGCATTATACGGTGCGGTATGGTACGGTGCGGGCGGTTTGTGCGGTTTCTTGCACAGCCCTAGTTCATACATAATATCTAGAATGTTAGATTTCAAATTCACATTTCAAAACATTCATAGTCTTGTCACATCATATGGTCCATACGATTTGCAACATATCATTAACAGTAACTTTCAGCTAAGTGTTTACATTATATACATGTTAGGATTTACGCGTAATCACTGCTGCCGGACTAGGGTTCCATTTTTTGTAGTCATGATTTCCTTTTTATACACACATGTCAAAAAAGCCCTGAAACACCCATGTTCCAAATCTGGAGTAAATCGGACCCGACCAAGTTCCAGAACCAATTATAGTCCCTTGACTTTTCTCGTTGACAAATATAGTACCAGTTTATTTTTACGAATTTGGTTTACTTCTTTTACAATTTTACCATAATATTAATATTTCTATGAATTTCGTCATATGTTTTGTAGCTTACTAATTTTTCCCAAACTTATTTTTATAAGTTTGTCTTTATAAAAACTTACACTTTTAGATTTTTTTTCGTAAAACTTCGTATACATCTTTTATTTATTTGTTATTATTATTATTATTATTATTATTATTATTATTATTATTATTATTGTTTACAAATTCATCCAGTTCTTTACAAATTTTCATAATTTCTTTGTGCAACTTTGAGTTAATTATGTTTTTTAAGATTAAATTGCAAAAAAGATTCCCACATTGTTGAAAATTACTATTTTGGTTCAAAATGTTTTAAACTAATACTCCGTGTGAAATAGGTTTTTTTTTTTTTTGTGATTGTAGTCCTGAAAATCTTGAAAAAAAAAAATAACGTTTATTCAACATTTTTTTTTAAACTTTTTTATTACAGAAATTGAAAAAATAAAAAGAAAAAAGAAATACAATCCCCACTCCTCTCTCTTTATTATGTAGTATCTATCTTTCATCTAATTTTCAAATAGAGAAAATACCACCACCACTATCACAACCGGACGAAGATATGAACGCCACCATTGCCACCGATCAGCACCACCTACAGCCGGAAGATGTGAACGCCACCACTGGTGTTGAACCTCTTGGAAAACTCTCGATTTTTTTATGAAGAAGGAATCTAGATCTATAGGTCTCGTGGTGTTGAAAACCAAATATGTAGCTCCGGTGAAGGTGGTGCTAAAAACCCTTGGTTTTTTTTATGCCTCAAGCGACAAAAAAAGGTATGATCGACTAGGGTCTTTTGGCGGCGGTAGGTGGATAAGGGTTTTCAAGATCTTCGACAACGGATGGATTAGGGTTTCCCGATTTAGAAATAGAATGATCTATGGTGGTATGATCGTTGGCGGCGACAATGTTGTAAATCGATCTTACCGAAGAAGACAAATTGAGAATGGGGTGGCTTTGTAAAATGTCTTTCGACCGCCTTTATCAACATCAACTTACAACAACTCTAAATCCATGGTTGCATCCGATGAGCATGGTGACGGCTCAAGCGATCATAGCATCAAAAGAGAGAGGTGATGATTATGGTAGCAGAAGAGAAAGAAAGAGGGCAGCGCTGACAGTAGTCTAACGAATAAGTCTCCGACGTTGATCCGATAAAAAGGATTGCATTGACGACAAATCAATTTTTTTGGTGGACTGTGAACAATTTTCCGGTGGAATGTGAAGGAGAGAAAGATAGACTTTGTAAAAGAAGGATGTGGGTGGGTTATTAAAGGTACGTTTGTACGGTGTTCGTTTCTATTTTAATTGATAAAAATCATAATCGTTAGTATTTTAAAACCTAAATAAGAAGTTAGTTTTCTTATTTAATACAATTAAGTTTAATTACCTAAAGAACAATTTTTATATTATTGATTGTTATTTTAAATAATTTTCCTTGTTTGTTTTTCACCATTGGTTATTGGTGATCGTTTTTCATTTTTTACATATTGATTCTCGTTCATATAGAATTGTAGAACATATAGATTTTTTTACATGTTCATCTTCATAGATCAAAAATATATTTATTATATACATAAATTTTCCTCAACAATTGATGTGTATCACCAAATTATATATAGTCAACATTTTTTCATATAATACATATATTATTTTTAAGTCCATTTTTGCTCATCACGTGACTTCTCTAGCCATGTGAGACATGTTTTTTTTTCTTTCTCGCAAATCCAATTTTATTAATATCTTTTTAGAATTGCAGAATTTTATAAAAAAACTAACAAAAAACTAAAAGAATAATTTACATAGAGGAAATAGACAAAATAGGATCATATAACCATACAACCCAATGGATATTAGTTTCAGGATATCTACTATTAGCCGAAATAAAACTTAGGTAGACCACATTATCAAACATTTTGACTTGACTTTACCAAAAATTAGTTTTTTTTTCAAAACACCAAATAGACCACCACAAAGTGTAGAAAATTGTCTCCAAAAACTCGTTACAAACCTTAGAGATGTGCAAAGAATCAAACTAGTTAATACAATCAAGAAAAGAAAGGAAAAATGGCGTTGATAAATTCTACCGACGACAAAGGATATGCTATAAATCAAGCACCAAGTTACATCAAAGGAAAAGATAGCCAACACACTCCACCTCCTTCTCACAAATAGAACATAAAATCGAATTAATCTTCATACCTTTGTAAGAAAGATTAAACCTAGTAGGAATCTTGTTCAACAGAAGACGCCACACAAAAACATTTGTTTTTATGGGAATGAGATGATACCAATGTTTTAAAAACCGGTTTTTTAGTTGAACCGGTATGGTGATCGGTTTCGGTTCAACCGGTTTAACCGGTTCGATCGTCGGGTGAACCGGTTTCAATATTTTTCATGTTTTTTTCTATTTTCCTACACATACATACATATATAAATTATGAATTTGATGTTTCCAAATTCAAACATTAAAAATACACATAAAAATAAGTTGTATATGAGTCCAAATACATTAAGATAACATATAACCATAAGTTTTAATGTTTTATATCAATCCATATACGTCAAAAAAAAGTATAATACCGCAACAACATATATTTTTAGATGAATACAAACACATCAAAAAATTTATAACATTTACCATATGTTTTTATTTAGAGAAAACTAAATAGATTTGAAAACTATCACCAAAGTTTATTATGTAAATTGTTCTTTTTCATGTATTTTTATTCGGTTTAACCGGTTTATTTTGACCGATTCAACCGGGTTTTTCTAAAAACGGCCGGTTCAGAAATTAATGTAAAACCGGTGATAGTTGAACCGCTCATTCTCCTGGTTTCCGGTCCAACCGGTTCGACCGGCCGGTTTAAACCGGTTTTTAAAGCATTGGACGACACCACCTCGTGACAAAAGTAGAGCCAAGAAGAAGAATTTTATCAATTTTTGATCTAGCCGACCCCACTGGAAAACCGCATGTGCTATCAAGAGACCGACACCATCTGTCAGGAGAAAAACAAAGAAAATTGAAGAAAGTAAAGAGCAAAAATCGACCTACTGCTCCTCCTCGGCACCTATGTAACGTCCTAAAAAAAGGTAGTAAAATTTTCATTTTTAAATCATTAAATCCATACAAACATTTGTTCCAGAACTAATAAGAGTA